CCCCAGCAGTGATTAAATACCACCAAAAGAAAGCTCTAATTGTGTGAAGAAAATGATAAAATTTTAGTTTGTGTACAGTATTGTATGACCGTGTAATTGTCATTCAAAGTGTGAGAGCGCTGAGACCTGAAAACTGGCCTGGGCAGGAAGGGGGTAAAAGTGCCCGGTATTGAAGTGGTTAATAATGCTACTTTTGTGAGTATATATCTCAATTTAATAAATTCACCCTTTACTCGCTGAGGTAATGCGTAAGGTTGGTGCGCTTTTGTTTTTGTTCTTTATTAAAGTCAAATAAGTGTTTTTTCTCTTACAATTATCATCACGCATCTCATGTGTACTGTATTGTCACAATATTATAAACTAGGTAAGCAGTAAACAAGAAAATCATAAGTATGAAAGACGTAAACATAGTAGGGGGGCATTGCATTGAGTGCTAAAAACTTTGGTGAGACTCAAGTGATGGAAATCTAGTCCCACTCCCAGTGCATCTACTAGCTTGTCTCTTTGCCTCTGAAGCTCACCACACATATTACAATCTGATTGTGCAATCTCTTTAGATCTATAAACAATTATGGGCCTGCCTGAGTACAAATTGATTCATTTTATTTTTTATAGGTACTTATACAGCACCCTCAATTTACCCAGCGCTTTACATATTGTGACAGTGTGGTGATCTGTCACGATATAAAAAGGATATATTCTTAACAAGGCAGGTTGAGGGGCTCCAGGATACTTGTTTGATGCACAGGAAAGTGGCTTTTCACTTTCCTCATGTCTTTGTAAAGTCCATTTTGGGACCTGGAGCCAGGAGATTTCAAAGTGATTTGGGAGGGATGAAATCTCCAATCCTGGGACCAGGTTTTGGGAATGGCCAGCAGACTGATTGGTCAGGTGTGCATGGCTCTCTTCTAGAGTCAGGGCCAGGGTTCTGGGCTCCACCCTGGCAGACAGGAGGTCAGTGCCCAGGAGTCAGGAGAGCTCCACCTAGGAGAGGTGGGAGCCAGAGCAGCAAGGGGCTGCTAGCTGTGTTCAAAAATCCATTTTTTGGAAGAAGTCCAACGCTGTGTGCGTTCAAGGAGTCCAACGCTGTGTGCTGGGACTAGCCAGTGGTCTGGGAGTCCTATATAAATAGAGGTACTGCTAACCAGCAGGGCTGATAAAGAGAGCCAGGAGGCCGAACATTTTTTGTTTGTAATGATGGTGGATATCCCTGTATGGGAAACCTGTTATTTGGAACTTTCTTTTAAATAAAATCGGGAAAAAAAAAACAGTCCTTAAAAAAGAAGCAAGTGAGTCACTGTGTGCTTAAAAAGCTCTACCCATGGTGCTAGTTCCCACAATATATATTGTATATTCACATCAGGCCCTGGTGTCGAGGAGCTTACAATCTAAGGTCCCTAACTCACATTCATACATACCATCGGAGGTCTAGTGGAGTTCATACCTTGGTGGGTCAGGGCTGTTTTGGTGGCAAAAGGGGGAAATACTCATTATTAGGTGGGTGGTCATAAAGTTATGGCTGATCTGTGTATTACACATTTACAACAGTGCCTACCATGAAGAGCTTACAATCTAAGGTCCATATCTTGCATAAATACATTCATATGCCAGGGCCAATTTAGACAGGAGCCAATTAATCTACCAGCATGTCTTTGGAGTGTGGGAGAAAACCAGAGGAACAGGAGGAAACCCATGCAGGCACAGGGAGAACATGCAAACTCCAGGCAGGAGGTGCCATGGTTGGGATTCAAACAGATGACCCTAGTACTGCTAGGCGGAAGTGTTAACCACTTTGCCGCCCATATTACATAGTTTTGATAAATCTAAAGCTGATTACGTTGGCTCACTTTGTCTATTCCAGATACAATATTCTCAACCTGTCAGAGAGGTACTCAGTGGCATGGTTTAAGATGACACTGTGCAGGGCAAAGTGACAGTGTCTCTGCAAAAGGTCCCCCTATTCCCCTAAATTCAACTACTATCGATCCCACACCACTCCTTCCCCCTCCTCAGCCAGTACTAAAATGATTAGTGTTGGCTATCTTCTTAGGTCCCCCATCGGCGCTCCAGGCCCCTCCCTCCTGCCCAGTGCCCCCAAAGCAAGCAGCTTCCTATGGGGCACCCAAGCAGGCTCACTCCTGAGTGTTTCCATTTATTACACAGAGAGCTGTGTTTCGGGTCCACCCCCTCCCTCTCCTTATTGGTTCACTGGCTGTGATTGACAGCAGTTGGAGCCAATGGCTTCCACTGCTGTGTCAGCCAATGAGGAGGGAGAGTCCCTGGAGAGCAAAGTATTTTGTGCACATCACTGGATTGCGATGGGGCTCAGGTAAGTATTAGGTGGGGTTTGGGGAGCTGCACATAGAATGCATGAAAGTAAAAAACCTGGAGCCTTTACAACCACTTTAATTAAAAATAATCAGAAACTACTTAGCAGCCAGCAAATGTTGAGACAAATACTTTGGTCAGAAGTATGTAATGTACAGTGCTAAATAACCACAATGTATAAAACACAGCAATCAGCAGTGTGTACCATAATGCTCCTTATATTGCTGTCATAAGAAGGAAAAACGGCTGAAAAAACTAAGGCTGGCCATAGATGAGTCATTTTTTTCATGCAACAAGTGGGCATCGGCACTGATCCAGAGGAACATTTTTCCTACAGACTGGTTGTATAGATCAACTTGCATACAATCAGCATGCCCATGCATGCATTGAAAGTTAGCTGGTCCCTGCTGAACTGGCCAAATTTTGATCCATGTATGGGAGCACTGGGGGTACAGAGATCACACTAGAAGACACTGAGAGCAATGGAGGTACAGAGCTCATGCTGAAAGACACTGGGAGCACTGGGGGTACAGAGTTCCCACTGGGGAGCACTGGAGGTACAGAGATGACACTGGAAGACACCGGGAACATTGGGGGTACAGAGATCACACTGGAAGACACTGTGAACACTGGAGGTACAGAGATCACACTGAAAGACATTGGGAGCATTGGAGGTACAGAGATCACTCTGAAAGACACTTGGAGCACTGGGGGTACTGAGATCACACTGGAAGACACTGGGAGCACTGGGGGTACAGAGATCACACTGGAAAAAACTGGGAGCACTGAGGGTACAGAAATCACACCGGAGGAGACACTGGGAGCACTGGGGGTACAGAGATCACTCTGGAAGACTTGGGAGCACCAGAGAAACAGAGATCACACTAGAAGACACCAGGAGCACTGGAGGTACAGAGATCCCACTGGAAGACACAAGGAGCACTGGAGGTACAGAGATCATACTGGAAATCACCAGGAGCACTGGAGGTACAGAGATCACACTAGAAGACCTGGGAGCCCTGGAGGTACAGAGATCACACTGGAAGACACTGGGAGCACTGGAGGTACAGAGATCATACTGAAAGACATTGGGAGCACTGGAGGTACAGAGATCACTCTGAAAAACACTTGGAGCACTGGGGGTACTGAGATCACACTGGAAGATACTGGGAGCACTGGGGGTACAGAGATCACACTGGAAAAAAACTAGGGAGCACTGGGGGTACAGAGATCACACTGGAAGACACTGGGAGCACTGGGGGTACAGAGATCACTCTGGAAGACTTGGGAGCACTAGAGGTACAGAGATCACAAAAGAAGACTCCGGGAGCACTGGAGGTACAGAGATCCCACTGGAAGACACCAGGAGCACTGGAGGTAGAGAGATCATACTGGAAATCACCAGGAGCACTGGAGGTACAGAGATCACACTAGAAGACCTGGGAGCACTGGAGGTACAGAGATCACACTGGAAGACACTGGGAGCACTGGAGGTACAGAGATCTCACTGGAAGACACTGGGAGCACTGGAGGTACAGAGTTCACACTGGAAGACACTGGGAGCACTGGAGGTACACAGATCTCACTAGAAGACACTGGGTGTACACAGATCTCCCTAGAAGACACTGGGTGCACTGGGGGTACAGAGATCACACTGGAAGACACTGGGAGCACTGGAGGTACAGAGATCACACTGGAAGACCTGGGAGCACTGGAGGTACAGAGTTCACACTGGAAGACCTGGGAGCACTGGAGGTGCAGAGATCACACTGGAAGAGTTGGGAGCACTGGAGGTACAGAGATCACATTGGAAAACACAAGGAACAAAAGGGGGCAGACTACAGGATTACTAGAAATCATGGGGTAAAAAGGAGTCTCCCAGAAAGTCAGGGACACTAGGGGGTTGATTTACTAACTGGAGAGTGCAAAATCTGGTGCAGCTCTGCATAGAAACCAATCAGTTTCCAGGTTTTATTGTCAAAGCTTAACCGCCTCCCACCAGCCATATAGTACAATGATGGGCACAAGGCGGTTCTCTCGTTCTGGCAGGACGTCCCATTCTAACCATACATGCTCGGCTCCGGGAGCGCGCAGCGCTGCGATTGGCGGTGCGCTGTGTCCCTCGGACACAACAGATCACCGATCAGTGGAAAGAGCCAAAGATGTTGGCTCGGTCATGTGATCAGATGTCCTCTCTGAGGGATGCCAGCTATCAGCATTTCTCTCCTCTTGAGCTGTCACGCTGACAGCTCGAGAGGAGAGCAGAGCCGGTAATCGTCATCCCTCAGAGGGGACGTGTGCACCGATCATCAGGGCACTGATGATCAGTGTGCCCCTGATGGTCTATGTAGCCCCAGCAGTGCCATCTGTCAGTGTCCATCAGTGTCCATCGGACACAACAGATCACCGATCAATGGAAAGAGCCGAAGATGTTGGCTCGGTCATGTGATCAGATGTCCTCTCTGAGGGATGCCAGCTATCAGCATTTCTCTCCTCTTGAGCTGTCACGCTGACAGCTCGAGAGGAGAGCAGAGCCGGTAATCGGCATCCCTCAGAGGGGAACATGTGCACCGATCATCAGGGCACTGATGATCAGTGTGCCCTGATGGTCTATGTAGTCCCAGCAGTGCCACCTGTCAGTGTCCATCAGTGCTAGCTGTCAGTGCTCATCCATGCCACCTGTCAGTGCCCATCAGTGCCACATTTCAGTGACTACCAGTGCACATTAATGCCACATATCAGTGTCCATCTGAGCTGCCTTTCAGTGTCACCCATCAGTGCCAGTCAGTGTCACCTAACAATGCCAGTCAGTGCTGCCAATCAGTCCCACCTATCAGTGCCAGTCAGTGCCAACTATCAGTGCCAGTCAGTGCCGCCTATCAGTGTGCATCTGTGCCACCTATCAGTGCCCGTCAGTGCTGCCTATCAGTGCCACCTAACAGTGCCAGTCAGTGCCACCTATCAGTGCCAGTCAGTGCCACCTATCAGTGCCATATATGAGTGCTGCCTTTCAGTGCCCATCAGTGATGCCTGTCAATGCCCATCAGTGCCACCTATCAGTGTCCATCAGTGCAGCCTATCAGTGCCCATCACCACAGCCTCATTAGCACACATCAATGAAGGAGAAAAATCACTTATTTACCAAATTTTATCAAAAAAAAAATAAGAAAAAACATTTTTTTCAAAATTTTCTATGGTTTTTGGTTTGTTTAAAAAAAAAAAATAAAAAACCCAGAGGTGATTAAATACCACCAAAATAAAGCTCTATCTGTCACAAAACAATGATAAATATTTCATATGGGTACAGTATTGCATGACTGCGCAATTTTCATTCAAAATGTGACAGCGCTGAAAGCTGGAAATTGGCCTGGGCAGGAAGGGGGTATAAGTGCCCTGTAGGCTAGTGGTTAATTAAACAAGCTAAAGTTAGAAGCTGATTGGTCTCTAGGCAGAGCTGCACAAGATTTTGCACTCCACAGGTTTAGTACATTAACGCCTATGAGTCTTGAGGTCACTTAAAATCTTCTCAGAGAAGGAGAGACACTCAAAAATTTCACAGAAAGCCAGGGTCACTAGGAATCTCCTACACTAGCTGTTGCTCAGGCAATTCTTGGGGCAATAAGCCCAGCCTAAATAGAAAGAGAGATGGCCTGGCTGGGCTGGGCATGTAGCTAATTTCATCAACAGCAGGTGGATAACCAGTCTTAAAATGGAACTTTAGTCAGAAAATTAAGTCTTGCTAGATCACTTCAGGCTGGCCCCTTTTGCAGGTATAGCTATGTAAAACATAAAACATGTAAGTGCCTATACTGTTCAAGATGCAGTAGTACACTATTTCACCCTGCTCTGCACATGCACAGACACTATGCCAAAAAATCAGAGCCACTAGAGGCCGATCTGCTGACAGCCTAACATTTACTGCTGCTCAGGGGGCTCTGGGCTTCAGCAAAATAGCAGCCTCCACCAAGAAGAAATAGGAACAATGCAATTTACAGCACACACTAATTCTGGTAGCGTAACTAATTATTAATATGGAATGCATGTTCCTTGTTAAAGAACACTATTTTCGATCAAATTGTTATGGGTAACGTTCTGCTTTAAACACAAAGTTTTGTGGGATAACAGGCAACAGCAGAACCTTGCAAGTTACAGCTATGGATTGACATATACCAGCATGACTGTTGGTTTTTGGAAAGAGAGGTGGCAGATGAACAGCAAAGCTGAAGATCTGTGACACAAGATGACAGGGTCTCTTAAGGGTTATTGTTCCATTGGCTAGGGGCAATTACATACTGAGCTGGTTTACAGTAAGTACACAGAAATCTGGAGCATAAAATAGAGCTATTGTCATACAAGTGAATCAGTTTTCATAGTTAACTATAGCAGTTACTATTATTTTCAGTGGGATGTGATTGTTTAAAATACTCAAAATCTGAATACATGTTCTGCAATGCAACCCTGGTATATATTAAAAACCCTTGCGAACATTCTTTATACATTGAAAAAGAACTAGTGACTTAGAAACAAACCCTAGAAGCAAACCCTTGTGCGGAATGTACTGGGACACTGCTTTTGTTCCAACATGGAAGAAAAATATATTTGAAATATATTTTTAAAATACAGTGGGGCAAAAAAGTATTTAGTCAGCCACCAATTGTGCAAGTTCTCCCACTTAAAAAGATGAGAGAGGCCTGTAATTGGCATCATAGGTAGACCTCAACTATGAGAAAATAAGTATTTGGTCAATATCAAAAGTTTATCTCAATACTTTGTTATGTATCCTTTGTTGGCAATGACAGAGGTCAAACGTTTCCTGTAAATCTTCACAAGGTTGGCACACACTGGTGCTGGTATGTTGGCCCATTCCTCCATGCAGATCTCCTCTAGAGTAGTGATGTTTTGGGGCTGTCGCTGGGCAACACGGACTTTCAACTCCCTCCAAAGGTTTTCTATGGGGTTGAGATCTGGAGACTGGCTAGGCCACTCCAGGACTTTGAAATGCTTCTTACGAAGCCACTCCTTCATTGCCCAGGCGGTATGTTTGGGATCATTGTCATGTTGGAAGACCCAGCCACGTTTCATCTTCAATGCCCTTGCTGATGGAAGGAGGTTTGCACTCAAAATCTCAGGACACATAGCCCTATTCATTCTGTCCTGTACATAGATCAGTCGTCCTGGTCCCTTTGCGGAGAAACAGCCCCAAAGCATGATGTTGCCACCCCCATGCTTCACAGTAGGTATGGTGTTCTTTGGAAGCAACTCAGCATTCTCTCTCCTCCAAACACGACGAGTTGTGTTTCTACCAAACAGTTCTATTTTGGTTTCATCTGACCATATGACATTCTCCCAGTCCTCTTCTGGATCATCCAAATGCTCTCTAGCAAACTTCAGACGGGCCCGGACATGTACTGGCTTAAGCAGGGGGACACGTCTGGCACTGCAGGATCTGAGTCCCTGGCGGCGTAGTGTGTTACTGATGGTAGCCTTTGTTACGTTGGTCCCAGCTCTCTGCAGGTCATTCACTAGGTCCCCCCCGTGTGGTCCTGGGGTTTTTGCTCACCGTTCTTGTGATCATTTTGACCCCACAGGGTGAGATCTTGCGTGGAGCCCCAGATCGAGGGAGATTATCAGTAATAAAATGTAATAAAAATGCATTTTAACATGTAGTGTGTGTATGTGTATATGTATGTGTGTGTGTGTATATATATATATATATATATATATATATATATATATATATATATATTTGAATATGGCCAAAATTGTAGTATTTCAAATATATGGCAATATATTTGGGAAGAATATTTTTTAAATATATTTCAAATATATTTTTCTTCCATATGGGTTCCTTGCTAAATCATCAAGACAGGACTAAAGATGAACTCCAGGTATGATCTTTATTCCATACTCATACCTCCCAACTTTCTGAGATGAGAAAGAGGGACATCTTAAAGTGTGTGTAAAGACTGAAGGTTTTTTTACCATGCGTTCTATGCATACAGGTAAAAAACCTTCTGTGTGCTGCAATCCCCACCCCCAGCCCCACTAATACTTACCTGAGCCCCATAGCCATGTGCATAAGAGCCTCAGCCATCCCAGGTCTCTCCCTGCTCATTGGCTGAGATGGTGGTGTGAGAGAGGGGGCAGAGCTAAGCTGTGGCTCTGTGTGTGAATAGACACGCAGAGCAGTGGCTCGGGATCAAGCCTGCTTGGGTGCCTCCATAGCAAGCTGCTTGCTGTGGGAGCACTTGGCAGGAGGGAGGGGCCTAGAGTGCTGGTGGGGGCAGCTCTGTACAAAACCACTGTACAGAGTAGGTAAGTATGACTGTTTTTTTAAACTTGCCTTTCATATCACTTTGACCACTTGCCTACCGGGCACTTTTACTCTCTTTCTGCCCAGGCCAATTTTCAGCTTTCAGTGCTATCTCACTTTGAATTACAATTGCACAGTCATGCAATGCTGTACTCATATAATTTTTTTTCACACAAATAGAGCTTTCTTTTGGTCGTATTTAATCACCACTGGTGGTTTTATTCTACACAGGTCAGTCCTTCCAAATCAGGGACAGTTGAGAGCTATGCATACTTACTTTAGTCCAGCTTGGACCAGTGTAAGTACCCCTTTACATCTGGGTCCCCATCAGAGTCCCTCCTTACATGAGATTCCCTATCACAGTACCCCCTTACATCTGTGTCCCCATCAGAGTCCTTCTTTACATGAGATTTCCCATCACAGTTCCCCCATACATCTGGGTCCCCATCAGAGTCCCTCCTTACATGGAATTCCCCATCACAGAGGGATTTGGTTCCAAACACAGGTCAGGACCTCCAAATCAGGGACATTTGAGAGCTATGCATACTTACTTTAGTTCAGCTTGGAAATGTAAGTACCCCCTTACATCTGGGTCCCCATCAGAGTCCCTCCTTACATGAGATTCCCCATCACAGTACCCCCTTACATCTGAGACCCCATCAGAGTCCTTCTTTACATAAGATCCCCCATTACAGTTCCCCCTTACATCTGGGTCACCATCAAAGTCCCTCTTTACATGAGATTCCCCATCACAGTACCCCCTTACATCTGGGTCCCCATCAGAGTCCCTCAGTCCCTCCTTACATGAGATTCCCCATCACAGTACCCCTTTACATCTGGGACCCCATCAGAGTCCTTCTTTACATAAGATCCCCTATTACAGTTCCCCTTTACATCTGGGTCCCCATCAGAGTCCCTCCTTACATGAGATTCGACATCACAGTACCCCCGTACATCTGGATCCCCATCAGAGTCCTTCTTTACATGATATTCCCCGTCACAGTTCCCCCATACATCTGGGTCCCCATCAGAGTCCCTCCTTACATGGAATTCCCCATCACAGAGGGATTTGGTTCCAAACACAGGTCAGGCCCTCCAAATCAGGAGGTATGCATACTTACTGTAGTCCAGCTTGGACCAATGTAAGTATGCATACTGTATTTCATACCTGAAGGGCCACTGGTGACTATCACTGTAGTAGTTGGAGTTTCTAAAGAGATAGCCATGGTCTTCTGGGCCCTATGCCGAGGGACTTCCACTCTGCACTCTGACCACAAGGCATTCTCTGATTGGAAGAGTAGGAGAGATGGGGTGGTGATGTCTGAGAATCATTGGATACTGCCTTGTATTCCATGAAAAAAAATACAGGGGGTTCTGCAATTGGCGGTAGTGCCGAATGAGCAACCCCCTGCGGTCCATGTACAGAGGGGAATCCACCTGGGGCGGTATTCAGAAGATTGCCGCTATCACCGTATTGGTGCTGACTACTACAATGACTGTCAGCTGCTCCAGTGGTCCTCCAGCAATATGAGATATATGTACGTACATTGGTCCAAGCTAGACCAATGTATTCCTGCAACAAAGAGCTGTAAAATATATCTAAACCCAAAACCTTTCTTTTCATTTTGGACAGTGTAGGGAATGGTTACGAATCTTTTTTTCTGTATGTGTCCCACTGATGAGCTATCCATTTGCCTGCTTTCCTAGAGACACATAAGTGGAAATCTCTTCTTCACTGTTACAGAAACAGGAACTCCTATTGAGAAATGTTTCTTTTATTCCGCTTCTGGTGACAGCTGGAAAATATTGGGTGCCGCTGACATTGGTCAATGGGACAAATAGAGGAGAAATTCTCCCAATGGGACAGACAACAATTAAAAATCTGACATATGTTTTTTATATATGGTCTTTTCTATCCAAAAAGTTGAAACGTCTGTGACTTACCCAGCCTAACGAAGCAGAGGAGGGTGAGGAGTACAGGCAGCATTTTCCCTGGGTCACCTGAGAATGTGAGAATATGTGTCGCTCATACACTCGCTTCTTATATATGGAAAGAAGTCTCATTCAGACTGCTGCCATCTCAGGATCACTGGTCACAGGCACTGAGCTCTGTCCTGGACAGGAGAAAGGACACGATCTGTAGACACTGGGCATTTTCTAGCTGCTGCTTTTCCTGCCCTTTTTAATCATTGATCAGATCCACGGAGAGGTTTACCTGGAAAGTTTGGATTTGTTAAGTGAAAATGCTTCTAAACTCCTCCCAGGGTTTCTACCTGCATCACTGCTGTACAGTGGGGGGCCAGCCTGTCCCCCGTCCTCATCCTTCTTTTAGTAACTCCTAACTTCACCGCATACATTACAATCTGATTGTACAATCTCAATTAGATCTACAAGCAAGGGAATCAGCATATGATTTAGAACAGAAAAAAAATCAGTAAAACAAAGCAAAGAAATTCCAAATAAACCTGAGCCCATCAGACACCCCATAAGAGCCCCCTTACCCCAGATTCACCATCAAAGTCTCCTTACATCTGAGTCCCCCTTACATGAGATTTCCTATCACAGTACCCCCTTACATCTGGTTCCCCATCAGAGTCCCTTCCTACAAGAGATTGCCCATCACAGTTTCCTCCTACATCTGGGTCTCCATTAGAGTCCCTCCTTTCATGAGATTCCCCATCACAGTTCCCCTGTACATCTGGATCCCCACCAGAGTCCCTCTTTGCATGAGATTCCCCATCACAGTTCCCCCTTACATATGGCTCCCCAACGGAGTCCCTCCTTACATGAGATTCCTCATTTCCTTTCCCCTACATCTGGGTCCCCATTAGAGTCCCTCTTTACATGAAATTCCCTCCATGGGCTCCTGCACCTTCCCCCCCCCCACTCCTATTCTGTGCTCTATGCACACTACTGTACACATCCCATAGTCATTAATCTATTTCACGTGCAAGCAAGAGAGAGTGGGTATGTTCCTATATATAGTGGGACCATGGAGAATGAATGTAGCCACCCTCTAACAGGAAGTCAGATCACAGCAGAAAAAAGGAATTTGGAGATTTAAAGGAGGCTAAGAGCAATAGATGGTACTATTTTAACGTAAAGATACTGTACATAATTAACATGTATGCTTAGATAGATTTTGTTTTTAAAGTTAAAGCAGAACTAAACTCTCCTATCATTTTCAGCCAAGGAAGCTGCCAGCTTGGCCTCTGTTTGATCTACAATGCCATGATCCTGCACATGTGATCAGTTATGACACCAGCCATTTGATGGTTTGACACTTTGGTTGAGGACGCAAGCAAATGTGACTGTTAGCATTTCTGGCGTGTTGGGAACTGTTTTTTGAAACTGTTAAATCATAGGATTTAGTTCCGCTTTTAAAGTGGAAGTAAATCCATTGATTTAACAGGTTCAAAAACAAACAAAAAATTATTGGTGATTTATATTGTTTAAGGAAAGGAAGCTCAGGGAGCTAAAGTGGATCCATGAGTGAAGGTCCTTCGTAAATGCTTTATAAAGTCATGCTATACCTGAATTTTTACTAAGAATGAGTTACTAACCATGCTGTCGCAATCAATGTATTGCAAATTATTATTATTATTATTATTATTATACAGGATTTATATAGCGCCAACAGTTTGCTCAGCGCTTTACAATATAACGGGAGACAATACAGCAACAATACAGTTCAATACAAGAGGGTTAGGAGGACCCTGCTCCTTGGAGAAGTAAGTTGCTGTCAGCTAGGGGTTAAATTCAAAGCTGACAAAGGACTGAAAGAAAGTGTAGTTGAGCTACAAAATCTCAGACACACTAGATGTTTAATGGCAGACTTATGTGCAATGCTTTTATATGAATTATTTATCAGCATTATTGTTATGCTGCTAAGCAATTAAAAATATCAATGTACCTGTCCTGTTCACACCATGTGCATTGTATTTGTATTGTATTGTTGTATTGTGTTGACATCTATTTTATAACATGCCACTTTGCATTAATGCACACTTGTTTTTCTGCAGCAGAGACTTTATTTTATTTTCCTGAATGTGCACTGTAGCGCACTGTGGCCCATTATAGTGCATTGCAGTCAGAGGTGTAACTAGAAATCACAGCGCCTCCCAACAACATGGGTTTATGGAGCAGAATCGAGCAGTCATGGTTGATATTTCTAAACTGAGCTTTAAGTTTAAAGGGCACTGGTAAGTGGGTGTAAAAATGCCTATATGGCAGTGGTCAGCAGGGTGGAAAAAGAAAGAGATGCCTCAACACTGGTGTCAATGGAGGGAAAAAATTAGGAAATCTATAGAGGGCTGGAGGCACCGTCGGGGACTGTGGACACCTGGGGTGTACTGTGGGGGTTTGGAGGAAATGTGAGGTCACAGGGGGCTTCAGAGTGCTGGGGTTCTATAACAGGCTAAGGGGCACTATGAGGAAGGGGGGCTGTGAGTGGAGGGAATCCATGGGGCAAGCATGGGGGCACTATGGCAAGCTAAGGCTTCTGAATAAGAATACAGGGGCACTGTGGGGGACTTAAGGGATTTGCATGGAGGTACAAAGGGGAATAAGGCTGCTCTGGTTGGTAAGGGACATTGTGAGGAAAAAAAGAGTCTGGAAAGCACTGTGGAGGGCTGGGGCCCTACACTGTAGGGGGATGTAGAGGAAGTAGGGGAAAGGGAACTTGCAGGGGACATTGTGACCAGAGATTGTTGCCCACCTACCCACTTACTGTTTAGATTTGCTGTCAATATGGGAAGCACTAAGTGTGTTCTTCCTCCAGCAGGGGAACATATTATGCCGGTCCTTCTTGCAGTATAAAATTTGACCACTAGATGAAACCAGTAATAAATTTACTCTTTTACAGAAACTAGAGACTGTTTAGATAAGAGTTAATAAAAATTCCAAAAAATTCTGAGAGAAAGGAACAAGATCCATCCTTAGAAACTTTATCTTAGAAACTGGGAGAGAAGGATCCAGCTATCAGAGCACATGTTGGACTAAAATATGCAATTCTTTGCATTCCCTAAAGGTAGCATCCCTGGTGAGAATCACTTATTGCCATCTATAGCCTAACTATTCATTGTGTGTTCTGTTTTTACATTGATTATACTTACACTATTTCTCTATTTTTTTCCTAATAGTTTCACCAAGTTTTGTTATTAAAGCTTCAAGATTACATTCAGTTTGGCATATTGCAGAATTGGAGGGTTTCCCTGCATGTCGAGTTACACACAGGAAAATGTGTAGCGAGGACAGAACAAACGGGTTGATTAACTAAAACTGGAGAGTGCAAGATCTTGTGCAGTTCTGCATAGAAACCAATCAGCTTCCAGGTTTTTTTTGTCAAAGCTTAATTGAACAAAATGAAGTTAGAAGCTGATTGGCTACCATGCATAGCTGTACCAGATTTTTCACTCTCCAGTTTTAGTAAGTCAACCCCTAAGTGTCTCACTTCAGCTTTTAAGAAGTCAGACAGAATGTCTAGTTGTAACTTGTGCTACAGGTATGGCAGATGAGAACAGAAGCTGGCAGGTGCCAAAGCACACAAGAAAGAAAAAAATCATCTGTATGTAGGTGCCTCCATATCCCTTCCTAACACTTTCTAACTTAATCTGTTTAAGAAATATTGCTCTCTCTGCCCCCTCCAAGGTTTTATTGAATAGCAGCCAAAATGAAGGTTTTTTTTTTGTTTTGGAAAAGGGTTAGAACATTTGGCAATTTCTTTTACTCTCTATGGCCTCTCTAAGGTGGTTATCAGCAAATCCTATCAGAGGAATTCACTTTTCCTCACTTTACTAATAAGTGTTTTTCTAACCTCTCTGCCAGAATTAGGGAGATTCATCATCATGACCGGTCTTTAAATTTAGAAGAATAATGTGGTCGTAGTTGAGTTGTTAGTAAATAAACAGTTGTATAAAAATCAATAATCATAGCATAGAGTCTGCAGGAACATATATAAATTTATATATACAGTGTATATGTTCACATTTTGAAAAATATCATCTTCATGAAATTTATATTGAAGTATTTTATTTATTGAAAGCATTGAAGAGTTTTTAGGTACAAACAGCATAGCAAGGCACATGTCATAATACTATAGATGACTAGAAGAAGAATGGCCATTCCATGAAGAATGCAGCTTATTAAGAGAAGGTCCTGTATGCTGTGGTCATTTATCGCACTCAGGCTTGCTCTGGTTTTCATTGTCTGCTGAATGTATCTGTAAGACTTCTGCAGTACCAATACGTTCTGTGAAAAAGGTTAAAAAATAAACTTAATATATTTAATTTTCTATAAATGTATGATTTATTTGAATAAAGCCTAAATTTAAAGTAAACAGTTGCACCTTTACTTTGAACCCCCTTCACCCCCAACCTGCTGCAAGGCACTTCTCAGTTCTTCAGTGATCTTCCCTTATGTGTGAGCATTTCGGGAGCAAGGCTGCTTATGTCTTTAAAAAACTGGCTTTCAAAAGGTCAGAGTTTACATAATAACATCACTTGATTTGGAGCAGCCATTCTCATCTTTGGTTCCTCCAGAGGTTCCTAGGGGTTCCTTGAGCTGTGGATGATTGTCCACCCATCTGATGGTGTCATAGTTCCAGAGCCAACGCCACTTGGAAAAGCCAGCAGAATGATACCAATGAATTTTTAGTTGTCTGTAAGGATGGCATTCTGATTACCAATGTAAGAGGCGTGTTTCCTCCTTACCCCAAATGAATTTAAATTTGTTTCTAGGGTTCCTCTGTAGTAACACAGTTAAGAAAGGCTAATTTAGAGGCATTCGATGTTGGTATGGCTTTACACTTCATTGTACCTGATGCACCATTACAACTTTTTTTTCTAAATGAGTGAATAATGTAGGTTATCATAAATATTTTAACAGCACACTTCATCTTTCCAGATATTCCATTCTTCAGGGAACACAGCAAAGTCTCCCTTAATCTAGCATGCTGTAAACTTGAATGTGACTTCTATTTTATAAATGGCAGGAGAAAATTATATCTACTTGTGCATAGCTGATAGAGCTGTTTGATCGGATTGGATAGTACACTATCTGTTGCTAAGTTGCTATAAGAAATTACTGGTCTATTGACCACAGAGCTCAGAGGAGACAAGAGCAGGAATTATTACCACTCTCCTTGGGCCTCACATACAGGGTGGTTAATCATGTAGGCTTGATCTGACTGTGTTTAGCGCAAACCATTGTAAGAACGTTGTAGAATATTGTATACAATATTCACACAATGTTCACAAAGATCGATTCCACCCATTTTATAATCAATATCAATGAAAGGAGAGGGAAGAAAGGAACAGAATACAGCATAGACGAACAAGAAGAAGGAACAAAAATAATCACAGTTCCTGCACCAAGGACCTCAGTAAAATTTTCAGTAAAATGACAATCCCTCTAGTTTAGGTTCTACACTGTATTTCACTCTAAATGCCATGCTTGAAATCATACACTTACACAATTACTAGAGACCTCTCCTAGATCAGTGGTTCCAGGTCTAGTCTGCAGGGGACCCTCCTTCTAGGCTACTATCCAATCCCAACCAGGACCAGATGTAAAGTCCACACTCCTATGGTATTGACTATATCGTTAACCTATCAGAAGGAATGGTAAACCAGTCCAGTTTGCATTCGCAGTAAGGGTTTTTGCAGAACATCTTAACAGTGCAAAGCACATCAGTTCTCACCACAGTTCAGTATTTTTCATTTAGCCCAGTAGCTTTTACGAGGGCCTAGACCCTGGCACGAGGAGGAGAGATACAGCACCCACAAATTACTTAGAGGCCTTAGTTCATATGTTGGGTAGAAATTGTATGACTTCCCTTCTCTTCTTATTTAATGGTAGGTCCCCTTGTGGAAAAGTATTACACAATGTCACAAATCACATTGTGATTTGGGTGAAGAGCATTCTTCCCAGAGAAAACAGGTCCAGCACCACTACTCTGGTTTGCACTCACTGCTGCTCTACGTACTATTCGTCAACTCCACCCACTGCTTGCCTAAATATCTCTTGTTCTGCTAAGATGATGGACAGAAGAACCCTCTAGCAACCATAGGTTGGACTACACAATAAAGGGGACGTACAGCTTAATGTAAGGATGAAGCTTAATACAATTGAATCCTAGGAAAAATATATATACTGTATTATGATCTTTCCAGAATGCTTATCAGCAAGTGGGTTGCATGAACAAATCAGGCCCAATGACCTAAATTCTAAAATGTGTTTACAATGTGCATTTGTATATTGCTGTATTGTTACCTGATAAATTCAAAGAAGCTATGTATATAGTATTACCTGGTTTGTCTTCCTCAGGAATGGGTTCTGGTTTCTGTTTCTGCGAACTACTAAAAGCAAAAGGAAAAATTGGATTTCAAATTAACTATATAAAGAACACCTGTTGACTGAGAGACAAAGAAATCGGGAACTAAGCATGTCAAGATAATAGCTATAGGTTTCTGGATACACATGTGAACATGATCAGTTGAATGCAAATAATCTTTATCATTGTAATAGGATGATGATACATAACAAATAATGAAAATGTCTGGGCAATGACCACACTATTAAGGACCATGGTACACTAGTCATCAAGTAGCTAGAGACAATTCATACTCTTCTACTTCCAAGCGTTGGTCCTTTGCTGTTCTGATGAGTAGGCCACTGTTCTGTTGATGAAGAAAATGCTGGCCGGTCCACACCCAAAGCAGAAGCTTCTGTGAAAGGTTACAAGTTCCTGGCCTGCCCCTACACATCTGAAACTCTTCCCTGCCTCTATCACTTTCCCTAACAGATGGGTGCTCTTTCCCTACTCTTGCCACTTCGCAGATGCACACTAAAACCTGGAAGCAGGGACTTATACAGGCTCTGCTGACCCAGGATGGCCACCAGGGGTCACCTGGATTCAAGCGTAGCCAACTGGAATGCTTTCCAAAGCTGTGGTACCACTCGGGTCAAGCAGAGTCAAGTGGTGGAAACAGACAGCACCTGCCTACATGTACAGCAGAGAATTAAAAGATAATAATTGGGAAACTTGTATTTTCAGAAGGGAAGTCAGCAATGACAGCCATCATTCTTCTTTTTTAGAGGTTTCAGTAAAATGTTCATATTAGAAAAAAATAGAACAACACCTCCACATATTGCCAACATAAGACATGACTTGAACCTGTTTAAAGTTCTTTGAATATGTTCATCTCTTGACAGCAGTCCTAAAGCATTCTGGGAATTAAGCCTCTCCCCCATGGTTTGGGATTCCGGGTCCACATTGGCAGTTGCTGTCTGGATCATGTTCATGACAAGGTCTTTCTCTGAAATATAGTAGTAGATATTCAAGTTTAGTAACATATCATAATACATGGATAAGCTATAATAAATTAATGAGCATACATTCCTTACAATATCATAAGAAACAAATATTATGTAATAGCATAAAGCTGAATTTCAGTATTCCCAAGGCACCATATAAACACTTTAAGAATTTTAAAAATAATGGCTTACTTTTTGAGGTAAATCATGTTTGTAGTTAGTGTGACTCTATTTGCTTCTTGAAATGTTATTGTACTAGGGTGCCAGAGGAAGGATTAAGGCAGACGGGCACCTATGTTTCCCATGAAACCATAGGCATTCACTAATGCGGTGGCGGGGCGCTGCTCGGTGCTGTTCATTCTTAACTTGCAAATGCCCACAACCACCACCCACAGAAGGAGCAACAATGTAAGCATTCAGCAAACTACTGATAGTAGGGAAATGCGACTGGCTTTAAAGTGTATCTAAAGTTAAAATGTTTTTTAGTCTTGGATAATGTTGGTAAGTTAGAATCTTGGGATTTGCTGTGTTTTTATTGCTGATTGTATCTCCATTATGGAGAACTACCCTTTTTAATTGCCCTGACCACTATCACCAGTGACCAAAAACAAGGAAAAAAACAAAAAATTCTGAAATAATTGTTTTATTCCTTTACTCTGTTCTCACCTCTTTGGCCAGCAGACAGAAGCCACTGTTGGATGGCAGACAGAGAATCTGTTTGTAGAATCTGGCAAAGTAACTCCAGTACCTGTTAACACATGAGAGAGACACGTATCACTATTCCAGGTCATTGTGACCCTGATTGGTAAATTTAACTTGTTTTTTTTCCTGATTTTTTGAAAAGCAAATGAAAGAACATTTCTCAGTATTCAGATAAAGGTTTAGGGGTTATTCAAAGCTGAAACATCTGGGACAGTCCAAAAATCTTTTCTGGATAGTCTGCACCAGGGGCAGACTGACAACTCATGGGGCCCCCGGGCAATAGGGGATCATGGGGCCCCTGTGTCCTTGGCCAAACTCAAAAAAGCCTATGAAAAAGGTACCAGGGGCATCTCATGGGGCCCCCTACTGACCCTGGGCCGTCGGGCGGTGCCCGAGTTTCCAAATGGTCAGTCCGCCCCTGGTCTGCACTTTGAAGTCCTGTTCCTTGTAACTCACTAGAAGTTCTTGGTCTTGGAAAGAGGAGTTTTCATGTTTTCCTTTGCTGTTCTGTTTTCGGGAGCCACGTCTGGTCAAGGCTCGGGCAGATGCAGGAATGATGCGTCCAGTTTCTGCTGAGTACTGTGTGGACCTCCGTGGTTCCTCCTTCTAAGGAATGAGTAAGGGTTTAGTATTTATATCATGTGAATACATTCACCTACAGCAGGGGTGGGCAACTGTGCCCCCCCCAGCTGTTGTAGAACTACAAGTCCCATGAGGCATTGCAAAACTGCCAGTTACAAGCATGACTCCAAAAAGCAGAGGCATGATGAGACTTGTAGTTCACCAACAGCTGGAGGGCCACAGTTGCCCACCCCTGACCTACACCATTGTACTGTATAGACCGTTAACTTTAGCCATTTTTCAGGTAACTATACACAAGTTACTACTGCTGACCTCCCGTTTTGAAATGCTACATGTCTGGTTGTATTAATGATTCAAATATTTCAATATTTTGTCATTGACATAAGACAAAAATGCAGATCAGGAGGTTTAATTTTTTTCTGATTTCCCTTGTTGCATTCTTATTCTGGGTCAGAAAATAAGGAAGTATTGAAGCTAGAGGTAGCCAGGTAACTGGCATCATAGGAAGAAAGTCAGCAATAACAGCCATCACCATACTGCACATGAGGCCAACTGAGGTGACTGCACTTATGGAGGTACATGGGGGGATGACACTGAAGTCAGAGTTTCCATACCGGCTTCTGGTAGCATTCGCCCTCAGCAAGGCCCTGATGGCAGCCTATATGCTGTTGTGCTGCAGGTGACCCTACACTGAATATGTGAGATCACAGGCAGAATACTCACATTTTCAAATGTGGAGGTCAACAATGACAGGTAATGTTCTTCTCCCAATACATGTTCCCTCAAAGTGTTTATAAACCCAGAAACAAAAATACAATTATATCCAAAGCCTTGAATATGCCAGTCAATACCGTTCAATCACTTATTAAGAAATGGAAAATTCATGGATCTCTTGATACCATGCCAAGGTCAGGTAGACCAAGAAATATTGCAGCCACAACTGGCAGAAGAATTGTTCGGGATACAAAGAAAAACTCACAAGTAAGCTCATGAAAAATACAGGCTGCTCTGAAAAAAGACAATGTGGTTGTTTCAAGGAGCACAATACAACAATACTTGAACAAAAATTAGCTGCGTGGTCGAGTTGCCAGTAAGAAGCCTTTACTACACCAAGGACACAAAAAAGCCAAGTTACAATATGCCCAACAACACCTTGACCAGATTCACCAAGATTTTATGTGGCATTGGCACAGTAAAGGTTTCTTTCTGGCAATTCAACAATGCACCTCATTTATGTTCAATTTTGTATTGTGCTCCTTGAAACAACCAGACTGTCTTTTCCCGAACAGCCTGTATGTCTCCTGAGGTTAGCTGGGAATTTTTAGTTGTAACCTGAACAATTCTTCTGGCAGTTCTGGCTGCAATCTTTCTTGGTCTACATGACCTTGGTTTGGTATCAACAGATCTCCACATTTTCCACTTTTTGATAAGTGACTGAACAGTACTGACTGGCATATTCAAGGCTTTGGATATCTTTCTATATCCTTTTCCGTCTTTATAATGGTCCATTACCTTGTTATGCAGGTCTTTTGGCAGTTCTTTCTGCTCCTCATGGCTCAGTATCTACCTGCTCGGTGAATTCATGTGAGAGCTAACAAACTCATTGACTATTTATACAGAGACTCTAATTGCAATTTAAAAAGCCAAAGGTGTGTGAAATTAACCTTTCACTGCTATTTTAACCTGTGTGTGTCACCTTGTGTGTCTGTACCAAGGCCAAACATTCCAGGGTATGTAAACTTTTGATCATGGCCATTTGGGTGATTTCTGTTATCATTATGATTTAACCACTTGTCCTCCTGAGGATTTAACCCCCTTCCTGACCAGGCCATTTTTTTGCGTTACGATGCTGCGTTACTTGAACTGACAATTGCGCGGTCAAGCAACGCTGCACCCAAATGAAATTTACGTCCTTTTGTCCCACAAATTGAGCTTTCTTTCTGTGGTATTTGATCACCTGTGCATTTTTTATTTTTTGCACTATGAAAAAAAGACTGACAATTTTGAGAATAAAACAATATTTTTTGACTTTTTGCTATTAAACATGTACAGTAAAAAAAATTTAAAAATCTAATTTCGGCATAAATTTTGGCCAAAATGTTTTCTGTTACATGTCTTTGCTAAAAAAAAAAATCCCAATATGTGTAAATTAATTGGTTTATGTGAAAGGTATAGCGTTTATAAATGGCGGTAAATATACTGGAATCTTTTTTTTTTTACTAGTAATGGCAGCGATCAGTGACTTATAGCAGGACTGTGGCAGGCATTCTGACACTGGGGGGAACTGACTGTCACTGACATCCCCAGTGACACCAATACAGTGATCAGTGCTAATAAAAATCACTGACACTGTACTAATGGCACTGGGCAGGAAGAGGTTAACATGAGGGGCGATCAAAGGGTTAACTGTGTGCTGTTTTACATTGGGCTGTCTCCATGTGCTTCACTGTAAGCACACTGCTTTGCATGGCTATGCTGTGCACAGCCATCCAAAGCAGTATGCATGAGCTGACAGGTGAGGAGAACTGTTTTGTTTACAAACAGTTCTCCATCCCATCGGAGATGCCTGGCAATCACCGGGTGCTGGCGAGTAGTCAAAATTTCAAGATTTCTGCCAGGGTATGCAAATTTTTTAGCACAACTGTATTGCAGTTTATGAACATTAGATGTAGTTTTCATTTTTTTCCTTTTATTTTCACGTGGTAATCCTGCCAGTAACATACTTCCTGTCCTAGGATGACAACACCTATCATATTACAACTTGCAACATTGTCACCTTAAGTGTAGTGTGTTAGGACTACAGAACACCTCCCCCTCCCCTCATCTCCTTCAAGTGGAGGGGGGTGTTCTGTAGTTCAAAGAGGTGAACTGATAACAGAACTTGATTAGAAGCTGTGAGAAGCAAGAGTAGCCCGGTATTTATTTCATTTTTGAATATAACTACCATTAACTAAATACGTAAAATTGTACCTCTTTCTTTTCTGTCTTTTTATCAGCAACAGCAACTTTTGTAGCCAACTCTTTCAGCTCTTCTCGCCATGCTTCAGATATGCCACCTGCAACCAGGATGTAAACATTTGCCCTGCTTAAAATGCTGCACATAAGTGAATAATAGAACAGAAATAAATAAATACGGTATGTTGCACAATTTCTTATCAATTTAATTGGTATTTATTGTTACTGAAAATCGGATTTTAGAAATAATGTGGGAAAATCCTTTTGCCCTTAGAAGGAATGTATGGGTGTTTGTATCTTATTTTGGTCAGGACTAAAATGCATTTTATTTTTTAAACCAACAACAGTAAAATCAGCCTGTATATGCAGTAAAGCATGCTTGTTATACTCACTATGAAACCTAAGGGGTTAATCATCTGCCTTGTGTAAAAAAGCCAATTGATCCTGATTTCTCTGTTCCTCCCCTTGTTTAAGCAACCACAGCTTATCTCCTGATAAGAGAGACTGAACCATAGGCATTTTGCACGTGCTCAGTTTGGTGTGTATTGCTAGAGAGGTTTTTTTTTTTTTGGGAGAGTGCATGTGATGAGCACAGGGCCAATCACCACTGCTCAGACAGAGGTCAGGGGTTTTGCATCCTCCTAGAGCAAAACGAAAACTCATCCTACAAGTTTTAGCTAGTGCTTGGCTGAACACTGATAGAAGTCACAAGACTGCTCTAACTGATAATGAGAAAAGGTATTTAGCAGTTTATATCTACTAAAATAATTGCATTTCCATGTTGTGTGTACTGTGGGAGACCAGATATAGTGAATACAGGGTCCTAGGTTTAGTAACACTTTAAGTTACTGTATTTTTTGCTCCATAAGACGCACTTTTTTCCCCCCAAAAAATGGGGGAAAATGTCTGTGCGTCTTATGAAGCGAATATAGAGTGGCCAGCCCGGTATTCCCACCGCCGCCATGATATAATACTGGGCCGACCGCTCAGCTCTTCTGTGCAGCAGAACCTGCTCCTCGGTTCTACCTGTTCCTCGATCCAGCGGTGTCCTTACCGTCTTCTCTCCCTGGCGCTGGCATCTTTAGTGTGGGCACCCAGCTGTGACAGCTCGTTGCTTCACATCCGGGTGCCCACTGCGTATGCAGTTTGTGAATGGTCTGGAAGTGGACAGAAGGAACCTGTCACATGTCCCAGAAGACGGGGAGGGAAGAGAACTCCGTGGAAGTGGGAACGGGTACCTGTCAGATTCGGGTACCCATTCCCCAAAGGTCCTCAATCTCTGGTCATCTCCTGTACTGTGTCCGCAGTCTCTTGTCATCTCCTGTACTGTGTCCGCAGTCTCTGGTCATCTCCTGTACTATGTCCACAGTCTCTGGTCATCTCCTGTACTATGTCCGCAGTCTCTGGTCATCTCCTGTACTATGTCCGCAGTCTCTGGTCATCTCCTGTACTGTGTCCGCAGTCTCTGGTCATCTCCTGTACTATGTCCGCAGTCTCTGGTCATCTCCTGTACTATGTCCGCAGTCTCTGGTCATCTCCTGTACTATGTCCGCAGTCTCTGGGCATCTCCTGTACTATGTCCACAGTCTCTGGTCATCTCCTGTACTATGTCCGCAGTCTCTGGTCATCTCCTGTAGTATGTCCACAGTCTCTGGTCATCCCCTGTACTATGTCCGCAGTCTCTGGTCATCTCCTGTACTATGTCCGCAGTCTCTGGTCATCCCCTGTACTATGTCCGTAGTCTCTGGTCATCTCCTGTACTATGTCCGCAGTCTCTGGTCATCTCCTGTAGTATGTCCACAGTCTCTGGTCATCTCCTGTACTATGTCCGCAGTCTCTGGTCATCTCCTGTACTATGTCCGCAGTCTCTGGTCATCCCCTGTACTATGTCCGTAGTCTCTGGTCATCTCCTGTACTATGTCCGCAGTCTCTGGTCATCTCCTGTACTATGTCCGCAGTCTCTGGTCATCTCCTGTAGTATGTCCACAGTCTCTGGTCATCTTCTGTACTACGTCCGCAGTCTCTGGTCATCTCCTGTACTATGTCCGCAGTCTCTGGTCATCCCCTGTACTATGTCCGTAGTCTCTGGTCATCTCCTGTACTATGTCCGCAGTCTCTGGTCATCTCCTGTACTATGTCCGCAGTCTCTGGTCATCTCCTGTAGTATGTCCACAGTCTCTGGTCATCTCCTGTACTCTGTCCGCAGTCTCTGGTCATCCCCTGTACTATGTCCGTAGTCTCTGGTCATCTCCTGTACTGTCCACAGTCTCTGGTCATCCCCTGTACTATGTCCACAGTCTCTGGTCATCTCCTCCTGTAGTACATCCGCAGTCTCTGGTCATTTCCTGTACTATGTTTGCAGTCCATTGGTTTAGAATATTTTTTTTCTTGTTTTGCTCCTCTAAAACCTAGGTGCATCTTATGGAGCGAAAAATACGGTAGATAAGTAGTAAATATTGTATACTAATATTTTTATTTTAGCCTCCAGATGGAGCTCTTTGCTCCCATTTCATGTTTTGCCTTGTCTATTTACAGGCTCTTGAAAGAAATTCCATTATTTACAATTCAAGTTAATATGTCCACACAGATGAACGAGCCACAGCCATGATCGGTCGTAGTGATTCATTCCTACTCAGAAAACTCAGTGAAAACTAACAATGATGCAGACAAATACTGGTGTGATGTCTACTAAGCTAACCCACAGTTCTCTGTGAATCCAGCATCATGTATCAAGTGTACACACAGCTCAATGAGCCACAGCCACAATCTGTCCCAATGACACCTCCTTGCTCAGTCGGCTTAATATGAAGTTCCAGTCTGACAAAGCTAACCGTGAGGCCGGCAGATACAGCTGCATTGTATCTAGACTCTCCATGTTTTAGTAAACAGTTTGTTTGGACCAAGCTGGTCCTATGATTAATTCCCTGTATGTGCCTGCTGTGTGCACTGTATGATCAGTATAAACTGTATGTGGCCTCAGTTACATACAGTATACAGCGCTGTGTTTTGGCAGTGGGGTGGAAACTTCCCATCCTGCTGCAGAAACAAAATACGGTTGGGCTGATGACTGCTCAGCCACTCACAGGGAACTTTGCATTCAATGAATAAATACAAAGCCTCCTCTGATTGGCTGTGTCTGTCTGACCTTGTCTTCAATTTAGAAAAAAAAAAGTCAACAGCACCCCATTTAAACAAGAAGTTTAATACTTACAATGTCTGAATATTTGCTCTCTTGAAGAGCTACAAGCACAACTGACATGGATTGGATGATACCTGGACACCTGTTGGGTGCTGTGGTTCCTACTGCTGGCTGCAGATTCACTACTGTGTCCTGAATTCTTTCAACACAAGTTTCTCTTGGGACTACCGGCACACAGACCAACAGAACACCTGTGCATCCCGATCAGGCAAACATGTCCCTTAACAAGAATGTACACTTAAAGGGCAACTCCGCTTTTATGGGAAACAATTAGCAAATTATAAAAAAGAATAGAATATAGAATTTACAATTGCTGATCAAGTCATATTGCAATTGAATGTTATTAAAAATTACCTTTCCTTTTCCATCTGCAGTGCTGTAATTTTCTGTGAAATAAAAGGCAATATGGCTACCTGGAGGTGTTCTGTACACAGATGATATACAGAACGCCCTTTGAAAAATGTAATTTCCCACTTGAGTGATTGGCTTACTGATGTTCCCAGAAGTGTGCCCTAACATACAAGTCAGATTTTTGACATCCCTCGCAAAAAATGTAATTTTTAGTGAGATACTCCCTATGGGAAATCACGTCTAAAGGGATTCAGATCCTGCCACTTTCCTCATTAGAGCCCTGCAGGTACAGCAGCTGATTGATAATTATAAAACCACTCCCATACAGATTCACTCTGCACATGGACACAGACAAAAAGCTATTTCTTCAGAATAACAAAAGGTAGGAATCTGCAACAAAGTTTGTTAAAATCCTTGCAATGTACATAGATTACCCAGAGAGGAATGTTTTTTTTCTTAACAAAAGTGGAGTTACTCTTTAAGTACACCTGTGTGAAAGAGGCCTCAATCCTACCCTTTTTCAGTATCTCCAGTATTTAATGTAATGTAAATATATTTCATGTTTCACTCACCTGACGTCAGATATGGAACTTTGTTACTACGTGGATCTCCTATAGGCAGACTGGGAACACCCAGCAGGTTAGTGGGGAGCTGGTTCTTCATCATAGGATGAGGATACAGAGGGGAGGTGACAGACCAGTCATCATTCACAATACATATGGGGATCCCATTAAGCCCTGGTGCAAAAATAAATGATGTAACTGAAAGAATGAACTAGAAAACAAACAGAAAGAAATGTACATCAATTCATCCAGCGTCAGATAAGTATGCTTTTCGTACCACTAGAGGGAAGCAAATGACAATAGAAAGGTCTGAAATGTAAAAGCAATGAAAGAAAAGAAACTTTAGAGAAAAGTTACAATGATTTAAAGCAATCCGCCCATCAAAACATTTCTATGACTATTTCTGCATATTATGGGAAAGGTTAACCACTTGCCCTCCAGAGGATTTACCCCCCTTCCTGACCAGGCCATTTTTTGCTATACAGCGCTGCATTACTTTAACTGACAATTGCGCGGTCATGCAACACTGCACCCAAATTAAGTTTATTTTCTTTTTTCCCCACAAATGGAGCTTTCTTTCAGTTGTATTTGATCACCTGTGCAGTTTTTATTTTTTGCACTATAAATAAAAAGATTGACAATTTTGAGAAAAAAACAGTATTTTTGACTTTTTGCTATAAAACATGTCCAGTAAAAAATTTTAAAAAATCTAATTTCTTCATAAATTTAGACCGAAATGTATTCTTCTACATGTCTTTGCTAAAAAAAAGCCCAATATGTGTAAAGTAATTGGTTTACATGTAAGATATAGTGTCTACAAATGGCGGTATATATACTGAAATTTATATATATATATATATATATATACTAGTTGGTGGCAATCAGCAACTTATAGCGGGACTGCGGCGGACATTCTGACACTGGGGGGGAACTGACATTCCCAGTGACACTAATACAGTGATTAGTGCTAATAAAAAGCACTGACACTGTACTAATGGCACTGGGCAGGAAGGGGTTAACACCTGGGGTGATCAAAGGGTTAACTGTTTGCTGTGTGCTGTTTTACTGTGTGCTGTGTGTGTGTTTTACAGTGTCAGCACATTGCTTTGTATTGCTCTGCTATGCAGAGTAATACAAAGCAGTGTGCTGGAGCTGACGGGAGAGATCTGTATTTACATAAAGACCTCTCTCCCGTCGGTGATACGCTGTGATCGACAGCTGAAGCTGCCAATGGCGGCGTGGGTAGAGATTGTCGTGCCCCCTACATGGAAACGCAAAATCACACATATATACACGATTTTGCACAGCCCTTCCACCCTGTAGCAGTATTGCTACTATAGGGCGGCAGGCAAGCAGTTAAAGAAGAATTCTAGGTAGTTTTATATAGCTATATTGGTCCAGCTTGGAGCAATGTATCTATGCATATAGCATACCTGTGGGAGCTCTCTAGATTCTGGAAATCACTGTAGTAAGTTCTGCTACTACAGGGGTCTGCACTAGCTTAGGGGTCCCGAGCCAAGGGGCTGTCCTGCTGCTTTCTGAACACAGGAGGTCAGCTGCATGGCACGGGCACTATTCAGGGAACACTTTGCATTTTTCCAATGAATGTAAAGTGTTCTCTGTTTGGATGAAGTGGAGAGTTGGAATGTTAACATCACATTCTCCACCTCATCCAATCAGAGATCATTTTGCATTCATTAAGAAAATGCTTTGGAGTTGGTTTACTAAAGGCTAACAGAATGTTCACTTTGAAAGTGCAGTAACAGTCTACAAGGGAATTTGCACAAGAGCTTAGTGAATAAGGTGAAGTACCACTGATTTCCATCATCCAATCATGAGCAAACATATATACTTTTTTTTTAGTTTCCTTGCATGTGATTGGATATTACTTGCACCACATTAACTAAGCTCTGGGGAAATTTCTCTTGCACAGTGCAACTTCACTCGTGTATGTTTGCCTTTAGTAAATAAAAGGAGATGTATGGGGTACATATAAAACAAACCTTCATACTCACCTCTGTGCTGAAGCATTGGTGTGATGCTGCAACTGTCCCACACCGGCTCTAAAGACGACCATAGATGGATTGAATCACGGCCAGTTCAGTAGGGACCGGCCAAGATTGGATCCATCTACATGCAGGCTGGTTGCATCAGCCTGTCAGATTTTTTTCATGAAATCACTACTGGCAGCTATAGCCGACAGCAATGATCATTGTGTTCTGCTGGCAGGGAAGGCTACCCGATGGCAGAACAGTGCTGTGTGAGCGTTATTGTGTTCTGTTTTTCCCTTTCACCCTTGGTGGAAGGAAAGAAAGTTGTATAATCTATGGCTTGCTTAACACAGAGAACTGAGAGATCACATGACCTCTGATTGCTCATTTTTTAGTCTTCTCAGAGCGGAGACTGTTGGGCACCACTCTCTCCTCAATCCCTCCAGTGCTCACTGTAGCACCAGGCAGGAGAGGCACAGATGGCTTTGGCTTTGTGCCTCCTGCTAATAGCTGGGGCCAGCTTCCAATCAGAGCCTGGAGCAGTCCTGAATGGCTCCTGTGCCACAATGGTGACCTCCTGTGTTCAGTAAGCAGCAAGGCAGCTGCTTGCCCCAGGACCGGAAAACTAGCAGCAATCATTGTACTAGCCATGCCTACTTCAGTGATTCCCAGTTTACACATTAATACTTCTAAGGTGAACCAAACTATGAAAACCTTGCCACATATACAGTATATATATTAAACATCATTATTACCTTGAATATGTGTGACCCGATGAGGGTGGGGATTATGCCTTGAAAAGAATGAGTGTTGGCTATAACTGCCAAATCGAGAATGGCTTATAGTCGTTGGTCTCATTGCTTCATCACTGAATCGCAGAGGGGTGTTCTGGGCAAGATTTGCCAGTTTTTCAGCCAGGGCAGCAATGTCTTGGCTTTTAAAAGTGCTGGAGATGGGATTCTTCATCTCTTCCATCTTCTCTTTTGAAGATTTGTGATCAGTGCTGTTATGGAAAGACAAGAAATTTAACTAACTGAAATATTGTAATGCATTATTGAGTGTGCTGCAATAAATATGTAGCATTAGGATTTGCTTTGCAGTAAAGGTAAAGGAGCTCATACCATCTTCACCATACTGGGACCCTTTTGGATTAGTTACTACACTCTCAGTGGTTTTTAGCCACTTGCCCTCCAGAGGATTTACCCTCCTTCCTGACCAGGCCATTTTTTCCGACACGGCACTGCGTTACTTTAACTGACAATTGCGCGGTCACGGAATGCTGCACCCAAATGAAAGTACGTCCTTTTTTCCCACAAATTGAGCTTTCTTTCAGTGCTATTTGATCACCTGTGTGTTTTTTATTTTTTGCACTATAAACAAAAAAGTCCAACAATTTAGAAAAAAAATTTTTTTTTACTTTTTTCTATAAAACATATCAAGTAAAAAAAATGTAAAAATCAAATTTTGTCATAAATTTAGGCCAAAATGTGTTCTGCTACATGTCTTTGCTAAACAAAATTCCCAATACGTGTAAATGAATTGGTTTATGGGGAAGTTATAACGTCTACAAATGGCGGTTTATACAGTTGCAAGAAAAAGTAAACCCCTTGGGATTACGTGGAGTTTTGCATGAATTGGGCATAAAATGTGCTCTGAACGTCATCTAAGTCACAACAATAGAAGAACACAGTCTGCTGAACATAATACTACACAAACATTAGATGTTGCCATGGTTTAATTGCACATAACATGTAAAAATTCACAGTGCAGGGAGGAAAAAGTATGTGAGACCCTAGCTTAATGACTGCTCCCAGAGCTAATTGGAGCCAGCAGTGAGCCAACCTTGACTCCAATCAGTGTGATGATATTGGATGTGTTGGTGCTGACAGCTGTCCTGCCCTTAAAAAAACACACACCTGTTTTTGGTTTACTGGTTTCAAGAAGCACTGTCTGATGTGAACCATGCCTCGCAGAAAAGAGCTCTCAGAAGACCTACGATCAAGAATTGTTGACTTGCATGAAGCTGGAGAGGGTTACAAAAGTATCTCCAAAAGCCTTGATGTTCATGTGTCCACGGTAAGACAGACTGTCTACAAATGGAGAAAGTTTAGCACTGTTGCTACTCTCCCTAGGCGTGGTCGTCCTGTAAAAATGACTGCAAGAGCACAGCGCAGAATGCTGCATGAGGTAAAGGAGAATCCCAGAGTGTAAGCTAAAGACCTACAGAAATCTCTGGCACATGCTAACATTTTTGTTGACACATCTACAATAAGGAAAACATTAAACAAGAATGGAGTACATGGGAGGACACCACGGAGGAAGCCATTGCTGTCCAAAAAGAATATTTCAGCACGTTTGAAGTTTGCAAAAGAGCACCTGGATGTTCCACAGCATTACTGGCAAAATATACTGTGGACAGATGAAACCAAGATTGAGTTGTTTGGGAAGAACACACAACACTATGTGTGGAGAAAAAAAGGCACAGCACACCAACATCAAAACCTCATCCCCACTGTAAAACTGCAGTTACAGGCATCATCCCAGTATCTTTTTTTAAGTAGGTGATTCCCTGTAACGTAAAAGCAATTCTAGTGGCAAATTAGCCTCTGGATTGCTTTAACAAGCAATGGGAGGGGGCCCTGCCCCCCATTCCCCACCGCTCTCTGGTGCCTTCCTGGGCTTTCTTGTCCGATCAGGAAGCCCGAAACTGAAGCCGGTGCTACTGCTGGCTTACCATAGAGCTGACAGGAACCATAATGTCCCCAATTATATCTATGGTATCAGAAACTGGAAGCGACAAGTATTTTGTCACTTCTGGTTTCGCTGGATGTAAACAAAGTCATTTTTGGCTTTGGAAAGGATCTGATCACACCGATCCTGATGTGATCAGATGCTTTTAAGGGCAGAGGAGAAATCTGGGGTCTAATACACCCAGGTCTCTCAGTAAAGATTACCTGTCACTCCCTATTGCTATCACAAGGGATGTTTACATTCCTTGTGATAGTTATAAAAGTGATAAAATAAAAACATTTAAAGGGACGGTGTTAAAAATAAATAAATAAAACATTTTAACTTGCTCTCACTTTCCCATGCTCATGCGACTGCATACATAGGTAATGCATGCATATATAAACGGTGATATATAAGCAACGCCTATTGAGATTTTTAATTACCATAGTTTGGAGCCATTCTACGGGTGTACGCAATTTTAAACTGTGACATATTAGGTATCTATTTACTTTTCATAACATCATATTTTTAAAAAAAATGGGTATTATATTGTGTTTGTATGTACTAAAATTCATTAAATTGTATTTCCAAAAAAATTTGCATTTGATAAACTGCTGTGACATAAAAAATTGCAAAATCCACCATTTTATTCTCTAGGTCCTTTGTTAAAATATATAATGTTTGGGTGTTCTAAGTAATTTTCTAGCAAAAACAAATATGCTCCCAGCACAAGACCCAAAATGTCAGAGGAAGCTCCGATGCATGCTTACAATCAGGAGCTTCTGATCATGTGACCGCTGTGACAAAAAACCCCACAGTGGTCACATGATCGAAATGCCTGCCACTGCCTACCAGTATTTGAATCTCTGAAAAAGCCAGGGGACAGTGGCAGAAAGGGGTGAATGGAAAATGACTCCTCCTTCAAAGCCATGCTTTAAAAAAAATATAATAATAAGAATTGACGTGGAAAGGGCTTTCTTTACTAGCAAATAAATGTTGTGTTTGCCAGAAGTTATCCTTTATTAACCATTTCTTAAATATAATATATGTAAAAATAAACCTCAAAGAAATGATACAAATCTGCAGAGAGTAGCCGTGATATTCCACAATGGACTTACTATTTTGTTTTACAATTATTTTAACTGCTGATACTTACTGTGTTTGGTGTAATACAGGTTGAGGGTCCATCGTTCCGCTTGCCATTTTCCTTTCCTGCAACGATAACATAGATTATTTCTCTGTTTGGCCAGTTGTAGAATATATGTTACTTAACTGGCATTAAAAATACAGACATCATTCAACTCCTACCAGCAGTATTACTAGTAGAAGTGGTGGCAGATATGAACTACAGTATATTAATAAGTCAGTTTGGGGTCATAGATGGAGGAAGTAGACCAGTCTGCATTGAACTATAGCAAACTGATAAAATTCATACAGTGCAGATTATAACATTTTAGAACAGTCCCTACATATATATATATACAGGGTGCAGCAACATAACTTCCTTTTTTCAAAACGCAATAAAACCCATTTTATGAATCAGAATTGTTTTTATTGTCTTTAATAATGTAGGTACATATCTAAAGTTCTGTTTTACACAGTTTTGAAAATCATATCAGGTAGGGGACGCCCCCCATTGTCCATACACTGAAAAAGTGAATTCAGACCGGTATGTGAACATATTGGAGGAATTTGTTTTTCCACGACTTGATGAATTGGACTTAGGGGACATTTGGTTCCAACAGGACGGAGAAACGGCTCACACTTGAAGAGCATCAATGGCTGTTTTAAGGGAACACTTCCCGGAGCGCCTCATCTCAATAAGGGTCGATTTGCAGTGGCCAGCCCGCTCCCCCGATTTGACCCCTTGCAACTTTTTTTTGTGGGGTTTTTTTTAATCCCGCATTTATGTAAACCGTCCAAGGACCCTACAAGACCTGAAGGCCAACATCTGCGCAGAAATTGCCAACATACCCGCTGCTATGCTGGTAAGGGTCATGCAAAACGCCAGAAATCGGCTTATTCAGTGTATGGACAATGGGGGGCGTCACCTACCTGATATGATTTTCAAAATTGAGTAAAACAGAACTTTAGATATGTACCTACATTATTAAAGACAATAAAAACAATTCTGATTCATAAAATGGGTTTATTGCATTTTGAAAAAAAGGAAGTTATGTTGCTGCACCCTGTATATATAGATAGATAGATAGATAGATAGATAGATAGATAGATAGATAGATAGATAGATAGATAGATAGAGAGATAGATAGATAGATAGATAGATAGATAGATAGATAGATAGATAGATAGATAGATAGATAGATAGATATACAAAAATAAGAAAATCCAGTTATGTAGCCATTAAAAAATTATTTAAAAAGTTTTATTAAATTCAACTAACATGAATAGGTGAATTTGTCTTGATAGTAGCACCCTGAAACATCTTCTACAGCAGTTCTTAGGCAGTAGGCGAAAGGGGCAGCCCAAGAAGCCAATTAAGTAATAAAAAACACATCTGCACATGAACACAGGTGGAGAGAGAAGACTGAGCAGAATGATGATGACTCAGGTATGCTGCTGCTCCTTCATCATCCAGTCAGCAGGCTGAGGTGTAAGCTGTAAGTCTGCTGTAGTGGATGGTGAGGATCTAGCTATGCTGTTTTGTAAGGTCTGAATTACAAGAATTCCTGAACAGAAGTATAAATTGTTAGGCAGGTAGAACAGTTCCAATGTGTGGATTTCATTTTTGTATGCATATAATTGCCTAGAGCAGGGTTTCTCATCCAGGGTTTCTCCAGAGGTTGCTAAAACTAAAAAAAAAAAAAAAGACATGCTGGTAGGTTAATTGGATCCTGTCTAAATCCTTTATATGGAAAGCGCTGCGTAAGTTGACGATGTTATATAAGTACCTGAAATAAATAAAATAATAAATAAATAATGAGCAATTTCTTTTGCTCAGATACGTTCCCACTGACACCATTGATCTTTTTAGATATCTAGGGGGTTATTTCTTCCCAATAACCACAAGTGTAAGGAGCGTTCTTTCCACTGACTATCATACTAATGTATCATGAGCTGAAGATATAGTAATTTTTAGCAGGGGTTCCGTGAGGTTGGAAAGTAATTTCAATGGTTCCTCTCTGTTTAAAAGGTTGAGAAAGGCTGGCCTAGAGTTTAAATTTAAATTTAAGGTGACAGATTGCTGTGCTTAGGGGCGGACTGACAACTCATGGGGCCCCCGGGCAATAGGGGATCATGGGGCCCCTGTGTCCTTCCCAAACTCAACAAAGGCTATGAAAAAGGTACCAAGGGCATCTCATGGGGCCCCCTACTGACCCTGGGGCCTTCGGGCAGTGCCCGAGTTTCTAAATGGTCAGTTCGCCCCTGGCTGTTCTTCATAACTACTTCACATTAGATACTGTATTTACCACCTTCCTGTCTATGCTTTACCATGACTAATCTGTTTCAGTTTAAATGACCAATCACTCTCCTCCAATCCCCAAACAGCAATCATATGTTCTGATGGGTGAATGGCAGGGAAGAATGTGGAAAATACATCTTTGCATGGGAGTTACAAAGTAAGGGCTAGCTTTAAACCTTATTGGAAATGTTTCAGCCAGGCCAAACTTGTTTTTTACTGGAGCTGAAAATCACACAAGTTGACTTTTAAATGTTGAATGATATGAAGAATGGAATTACTGAATTGTAAAGTATGTGGGAAGTGGCCACCATTAGAAGGTATGACTCATGGCTTAGTCTGAAGATGTATTAGCCAAGCAGTCTGACCACATAGGGGACACGGCCAGGTGGGATTTTATTATGTGACCTCTAATGTGGTTGCACACTTGAAGTTACACTTGTTATCACAAATACTGCCTTATACCCTGCTTCTAATGGATAGATCCTCTATGAGCCCAGAGATACCATCATAGTAGTAATAAGACATAGACAAATCAGTACAGACATCGCTTTACAATACATTGGAGTTCCTAAGAATTCCTGTTTCCCTTATCAAGGCACAATACTTATTTATCTAGAGACAAGAACAATGAAGTAGTAATACTGTTAGTTATTACACAAGACATAAAGCAAATAACAGGCACTCACCGAATGGGTTGTGTACAACTTAACGCAGACACGAGCAATTACACTGTAACCTCTCCTTCATGACTACTGTGCTGAAATGTTGCCATTATTTGCTGTATATAAGGATACTCTTCTTTACAGTAGAATCCTGACCACATCTTTTCTTATTTTAGGATAGTATGGGGAAGGATCAGAACTATGATCATATTTAGAGGTGAGCTCAGACATCCTTCAAACTCATCTCTACCCGAACTTCAAGATCACACTCTTTTTAACTCCAAAAAGCTGTGGGCTCGGTCATTCCGGCTATGCAACCAGCCTCTTTGTTTAAGTAAGATGCTGGTCAGGAGGGACAGCTCGCTCAATGGAGTAATAAATGAGTTCTGAGTTTAGGTAGAGATGAGTTTAGAGGATGCCCAAACTCATCTATAATCATGTTTTTATTGTAGTTTATGTTCTTGTTAGGTGGATTTCCTCTCACTTCCTGTTGTGTAAGTGGGGTACAATGTGAGAAGAAACGCACAGCCAGCAAAAAGAGAGCTATTACTTGATTTAACTAAAGCTTCCTTACAGAAGTTAAAACCAAGCAGCTTGATAACACACACTCCTACAGCAGTAATGGCCAAGGTTGAATAGCTGCTGATGTTGGCTGATGACAGGAGCATTAATCTGGTGCAGGTGTAAGGGGGGTTCTTTCCAGGGAATAGGCTTATCTCCCTGGGCATGTGTGATGCTCAGTAGGCAAACTCTCTCATGATATTAGTTGGGAGGTTGGTAGAAGTTTAGGGTCTAGTTCTGCATGCAGCACATGTAGTTATGAGAAGAGTATAGAGTGGGAGCATATCCTAGTCATGGGGAAGGGATGCACCAGGTCTTGTGCCTGAAGAAGAATATCTTGTACTTTTCCCTGATAATACTGTAGGTGAACACTACAACAACCCCTCCTGTATAGCTTAGTGGGATTTACTTTACATACTAGTTATAGCTGGAATGTGGATGTTATTTATTATGTACTTTGGAAACCAGTCTTCAATGATTTTGGACTATTATTGCCATGTATTCTGGACTGTACCGCCAACTATGTGGAATTATGTAAGTCACTCATTTGTAGTCCTTTTGGATATGTTAGTAAAAGTTCACAAAAGCTGCTAAATGCCTCCTTTTTGACCTAACTTCTAAGTTAGTAGTAAAGAAAGTAGAGAAAAAACATTGCACAGCTAAGGCAAAGACAAGAATGTGCACAGCAAAAGAAACACTCTAACCTGTGACTAAACCTGATAGGCCACAGGACTGATCTGGGTTAGGGAAAGTGGTCACTTTCCAGGTCATGTGAGCTTCCCCTCAATATGTCATACTCCAGGTGGCCTTGCCTTCGTGTTCTAAGGGACTCGGGCATTTGGTTTGATCATTGATTCCTAACCTGCAACTATGGTAATTTCTAAGGCCTTGAGCAAGAGTGATTCTGAGCATTTGAGGAGTTGGAGAGATCATGGTCTATGGCCCACCATTGTACACATGGACAGCAGCACAGGGAGGCATCAGTGAGCATCCAGAATGGAGCAGACCCTTCATTGCAATCCAGGGGTCTTGGTAAATTGTAAGGCCCTGGCTGCATTGCATGGCCGCGACTGGCACCTAGGGGATGCTTACACAGGCATTAAAGGAAACCTTTTCCAAGAAAAGGATAGAAGCTGCCATTGCGGGCTTCTCATATTGAATCTACCAAATGCCTGTTTGTTATACTGACCCTCTGGTTTCAAAACTTTAAGCCATTAACACATTACCATGCAGTAATATATGTGTAGATAAGAAGATTTGACCTGAGTAGATAAAGAGGATTACTGTGACTTAAAGTATTGAAACTAGTAAATATAACACAGGCATTTGGCATTTTCAGAGCGAGGCCACACATTATTATTATTATTATTATTATTATTATTATTATATACAGGATTTATATATGGAAGCTCCCATATTTATTTTAGGTTATCCACCTGTTTACTTTTCCTTATGGCATAATTGCTGCAAATTCTTTATTTTCTAAATTCAATTCAATTGCCTGTTTTTCCAGTTTCATGATTCTTTTTTTTATTATATGCTGTGCCCTTCTGTGCCTGCCTCCA